AGGTTTGAGCGAAAGCATTTCTTTGAGCGACGTTCCCCAATGTTCCTCCTTTGGTTTCAAATAGCACCTTTTGGGCCAGTTTGCAGTGAGATTCCTTTTGAGTGATGCTTAAAAGGGGAAGAAGACGAGGTTTCAGACGGACGAGCTGAATAGTCGACTGTTTATAGATCGGGCTTGGGAGCGATCGGCTGAATGGCAAACTGCTTCCTGGGTTTGGTTGTGCGAGGGTTGAGTCGCTAGGCAGCCCCCAATGAGCGCTCAGATCAGTCCTTGTGCCTCCAAAACCTGCGCGGAGGGGGGGGGGGCTCGAAGCCACGGAAAGCCGTGGATTTTGTGCCGGATGCGGGCCATTTGGAGCCTCGGCTCCTCCCGCAGGATTCCAGGGTCCAATACGGGTACGGGTCAAAATGAAGCCATCAGATTTGAGTCCAGGTTTCCATTCGCCAGGCTTCCATTTTGGGATTACCTTCTTTTTTTTGGGCAACGGCCATATGAGAATTGCGCCTCGACTTCCGCATGCCGAAAAGACCGCAGGCCGAGCCAGAGGAGGCGAGCCAGGACGGGGTTGCAGCCGAGTGGCTGAGCCATGAACCTGATGTGGCTGTGGGTCAAAGCCAATGGTATCCCATTTTGGGGTAGGTGCACCCCCCATTTTAGTACTGGGGGTACAGGATTTTGACCCATGGCCATGTACATTCGCAGAGTGAGGGTTATCAACTTGCCGGAGATGTCCGTGAGGCGGCTGAGACTTTGGATGCAGAGGTTCAGGCGGGGCGCTCACGGGCAATAGAGCCTTGGCTTGCCCAGGTCACACGTCGGAAGTGCTCGACGGAACATAATGCATTCCGCTGGATTTGGACCAGACATACAGAGCCATGGGAAACAATGCGAGTGCTTGCTGCACAAGCAGCGCCGAAGTAAAGCCGGAGGTTACAACAGTAGTTGCCCACAAGATCGAAGATGCACAGGAACCTACAAAGCCAACTGAGACGATTGAGACCGTTGAGACAGACGCTGTGGCAAAAACCGGCAGCACCCAGGCAGAAGTCGAGGTGAGCATAGAGCCTGAGAAGGCTGAGAAGGCTGGAGAGCTGGAACCCGGAAGTCCTGTGTGCTACTACCCCGCTGAGCTGACGATCACCCCCGGGGAGATGATTGGGAGCATGGCGCCCAAGTTTTGGGGCAATGTGGTCATCATCGTCCTTCTCGGTGGTTCCTATCGCGCGGCCCTTTGGAGTGGCTACGCAGTCTCAGCCGCGTTGGCAATCGCAAGCACGCTCACTCTTGGCACGTGGCAGGTGGGATCTTTCCCAAACTGGAGCAAACCGCGCTAACCCGGCGTTGCTCGAAATTTCTCATGTTTCACTTCACATAGCCAATGCTGGAGCCCTTCTCCCAGACATTCGTGTTGACCGCGGTTGGCTTTTTAAGGTTTTCAGCTTGCTCGCGGATTTCTTTGCGGACTTACTTCAGAACCTCTGTAACCGATTCGCAAACTGACTACCTGGCTGGCTAATTGGCTAATTAGGTAGCTAACCAAGTGGCTTACCAACTCACCATCTAGCCACCTAGCTAACTAGCCGACTAAAGTAGCCAACTAAATACTTGGTGCACGACGCCGTGGTGTTTCGGCCAGAGTACGCGCCACAAACTTCATCTTAAGCTTGAAATCCCACCGGTTCTGCGTTAAACACAGCGATTTCCACTTTGATTTCGAATTCCCAGGGAGTGAAATAGAAAATAAGTTTTGCGCCGAGGCGAGAAGAGCCCCCAGTGCCAGAGTATGCCGCGCTCACTGGAAGGAACACACTAACACATGTACTTCGCCTCAGTGAAACGCCTTTTTCCAGCTGAACCCAGGACTCTGTTTCAGGCCAGGGCCCTGAGTTTCCGAGACACTCCTCAGACCCCTCTCGGGCAAAGTGTGGCCAGCGGCTCGTTAAAGCTTGCAGGCAAATTGTACGCTCGGTTGTGGTCTAGGTGTGCAGTGGGCGTGAACCTAAGTTAAATGTTTGTGCTCGCTATAACATTTGTTCGCATACGCCTGCGTGCATACATTGCTGGGTGATGCGGGGAGCGTGAACGTCAACATTTGCGCCAACATGTATACAGTGGTCGGAGATGGGCGTGAGCATGAACGCAAACATTCTTGTCGACGCGTATGCAGTGTTTGGTCGGAGATGGGCGTGAGCATGAAGGTAAACATTATTGTTGGCGCGTATACAGTGTTTGAAGAAGCGTGTGGGCGTGAGCGCAAGCATTTGTGTATGGAGGGCCATTTTTTTAAGGATGTTTTTTTTTTTTTAAGGAATTATTTTTGTTTTTCAGGGTGGGTGGCTTTTCGGCTTTTTGGCTTTTGTGGCTTTTACGTGGGTTTGTGTTGCTTTTACGCATTTCGCATCCTCTGCATTCACAGTTCCGCTCTTTCGCATCCTCTGCATTGCCAGTTCCGTTGGCTTTTTGGCTTTGTGGCTTTTGGCGGCTTTCTGGCTTTGGCTTTTCGCATCCTCTGCTTTCCCAGTTGGTTTTTCACCTTGGCTTCCTGCATCCTCAGCATCGCAAGTTCCTCTCTGGTGCCCCCCGCCACCCCCCTTTCGAAAAATACACGCCTAATTGAATCATCACTTTTTCGATCATCATGCGACAGCTGCTTTTTAGATTCTTTGGCTGCCGTTTTACAGGGATTAGTTTGCCCGTGATTGAATCCTCACTTGTACCATGAGGCCTTGCCGCAGAGGAACTGATGACCCCCCCGCTGCTTTTGTATATTTTTTTTGGCCCTAATTGAATCATCACTTTTTCAATCATCGTGGGGGGGGCTGCCGGACTTTTGCCCTGATTGAATCATCACTTTTTCGATCTGCAGGGATTAGTTTGCCCGTATTTGAACCCTCACTTGTACCACGAGGACTTGGCGCAGAGGCACTGATGCCCTTCCTGCTGCTTTCTTTTTATAATATTTTTTTGGCCCTAATTGAATCATCACTTTTTCAATCATCGTGGGGGGGCTGCCGCCCCCCCCAACCACCCCCCCCGCTATTTTTTGGACTTTTTGCCCCTATTTGAATCATCACTTTTCCGATCATCATGCGACCGCTACTTTTTAGATTCTCTGCCCCTAATTGTTCGATCATCATGGGGGGGGCTGCCGCCCCCCCCAACCCCCCCGCTATTTTTTAGACTTTTTGCCCCTGATTGAATCATCACTTTTTCGATCATTATGGGGGGGGGCTGCCGCCCGTGCGACCGTTGCTTTTTAGATTCTTTGCCCCTAATTGTTCGATCATCATGGGGGGGCTGCCGCCCGCCCCAAGGGGGGATGCGGGAAGCCAATTTGCTGGTGATGCTCGCGATGTTGGCTGGACATGCGGGGGATGTTGAAAACGATGCTGATGATGTTGACGGACGCGTAAAATACGTACATTTCGCGAGAAAATGCTTTAAATTACAGCATTTTAGTAGCCAGGCCGGAAAACAAAAAAAAATCCCAAAATAAAACCAAAAACAATCCCAAATTAAATCTCGACCCTTTGTGTATTTTGGTCGAAGATGCACGTGGGCATGAACGTTGGTGCCGGCATGTAGGCAGTGGTGAGAGTTGCGCTTGAGCGTGAACGTGAGCATACAGTGGTCAGAGATGCGCGTGAGCATGAAAGAAAAAAATGTATCAGAACGTGTACAGTGGTGGAAGATGCGCGTGGACATGAACATGAATATTTGCACCAGCGCTTGCAGCGGTTGGAGTCGCGCTTGGATGAGAATGTCTCACCAAAACAAGAGAAAGTGCAAATCTACACACGGCGTGGTCCAACTACTTGGGCATTGAATCTAGAACTAGCTAGTTCAAGAGCAAACTAACGTGGAAACAAGCTTCAAAGCTACCAAATCCATTGACAACTAGTCTAACTGGCTAACCAACAACTCAGCTATCTAGCCAGGCTGCCCAGCTCGCTAAAGAGCCAACTAACTAGATGGCTGACTCGTTAACTCACCGACAAACTAGCTAGCTGGAACCAGCAGACTCCCTAAATATTCATTTGCCAAGTAACAGACTAGCTCATTGCCGAAGCTGACTGGCTCAGCGACTCACCACCTCGCTAGCTAGTCACCAGCTCAAAGCTAGCCGAAGCAGCTCACGAACTTTGAGCCAACTAGTTAAACAACAAACTAAGCAACCAACAAACTAACAAATTACCAGCAAAGCAAGTGACAAGCTTGCTAAATAACCAACCAACCGATCGACCGACAGACAAACAATCAAACGAACAAACGCACGAATGAACCAACGAACAAACAAACAAGCCAACCACGAACCAACCAACCAACCAACCAACCAACCAACCAACCAACCAACCAACCAACCAACCAACCAACCAACCAACCAACCAACCAACCAACCAACCAACCAACCAACCAACCAACCGGCCTGCCAGCCAGACAGCCAGCCAGCCAGCCAGCCAGCCAGCCAGCCAGCCAGCCAGCCAGCCAGCCAGCCAGCCAGCCAGCCAGCCAGCCACCCAGCCAGCCAGCCAGCCAGCCAGCCAGCCAGCCAGCCAGCCAGCCACATAGCCAGCCAGCCAGCAAGCCAGCAAGCCAACTAACGAACCAACCAACCACTGTAACTAACTAACAATTTCACCTCGCCAACTCGCTAAGTCACTTGCGCAGCACCTACCCCACTCACTCACTAGCTAGCTAGCTAGCTAGCTAACTAACCAACTGATTGACGAACTGACTGACTGAGCAGCTAACCAAGTGACCGGACCTACCAATGCTAACTTGCCGACCAGATGGCAACTTGGCAAAGTATTTTTTTGGTGCCTCGGCAATTAGCCTTTCACGTGCAATTGCGAGCCGGAGCTGCAAAATGTGGGGTTGATCAAAAGGTCGTTTACACTGGATGCCCATTTGGGGAAAACCACAAAAAGATGATACTCCCACATGGGAAAAGTTACCCATGGTCATTTGGGAGCTGAACTCAATATTGATCAACACCCATGTCACAGTGCCGTTCCACTTTCGTCACGTGTGAACTGTCTCGACTTCCGAGCCTCCGAACAGTTTTGAGCTTTCAGGCTGGAGCAGCCGAAGTGCCAAAGTGTACTTCATACTGCATGGATGTAGTCTGAAAAGATTCAAGTTTCGATCTGGAGCTGCGAAGTCCGATTTGCATACAACACCCTTGCTGAACAATTCGCGATGTCCAACCTGGAGCTGTCAACGTGTATCTCAAACTGTTCTCCGCACATCGCGCTTGAATTGAACAGGGGCAATTTTCGAGCTAGAACTGCCAACATGTTCTTCGTGGACCACCCTGGCTTCAATCGATCGCCAGTGAATGAGTAATTTGGCCAGGGGTCTATCTCTTAAATACTAGATTGGGAATAAGAATGGGTGTAGTTAGTGGATATTACCTGTAGATCGCTGTTGTTTGACTGCTTTTCCTTGCGCAGACCTCTCCAAGCCCTTCAACGCCTTCTCGGGGTCTTGCCGTCTTCCACGAGCTTTTCTGTGTTTTCCCATGGTTTTCCCTTCTTCCCGTCGTCTTCCCGTGGTCTGGCTTGTTTTCGGCCCCCCAGGGCCCAGGGCCCAGGGCTTCCAAAAACGCATCTCGATCCCCGTAACGCCGTACGCCAGCCTTCCTTCTCATGCTTTGCAAGACTTGCTGTGTGTGCCGCATCCGTGTCGGTGTTTGTGTCCCAGTTTGTCGGTTTCCGCATCTGTGCCTATCCCACAATACCTGTATGAGTAAATGTAGCAGTTAGTTTTTTGTACCTGCCCTGAACGTCCGAGAGTCTCAAGCAAGTTGTTTCCGGGCCGCACGAGGTTCTGGTTTCTTCCTAAATCTGATTCTTCTCAGACTGACAGACCGTAAGTGGGATGCTTGCCAAAGTTTGCCAAAGCAAGAAGAGTCAACAAGAACGATTTTGTTTTGGGACAGCGAGTTGGCAATGCGTTTTTTTGCCCCGCCAGGTTGTGTGGCAGCTGGCTGGCGTGGGGATAGGTGGAGTACCTACCTGGGTGATGCTGCTCGAGCTGGTATTTCACTGGCTGCTGTTTGCAGGGGAGAAGTACTTCTTCGGCCCGTTCCAGTCACGTTCGAACTTGATTGCTACGTTCGCTCTACCGCTGATGTATCTTCCCTTCAAAGGAAGAAGACTGTTCGGAATTGGCTCAGGAATGGTAGTACGTATATTTGGTTTCCTGAGTCTGTTCCTGGGTAGCTACTTGATCTCATTGAGAACCTTGATCCAAGTGGAGGCACTCCAAGACATGTTCTACCCTGTGGTTGCGATCGTGTATTCAGGCTTACTCAATCCAATCATTCAGCTCACTTGGCAGTATTTTCCTGGCCGCCGCGACTGCTCGGCGTTGTGGGTGACATCCGCCACGGCGACTGTGGCAGTCTCGTCAGAAGGCTTCTACTATGTGGGTTTGGTGCTCATGCTCGCTTTCGCTCAAGGCACGGATTATGAGGTCACGCATCGCGGAGCAGTCTCCATAGCTACGCATGCTGCATTTGCCGTCTTGGGACGTTTCAATGTGATGGGCACTTGCTTGCTCTTTTTTCGGCGGTTTGTATGTCGCCGACTGGGCAGGGATGTGCCCGACATTCCCGAGTGCAGTGCTCAGAGGGATCTAATTTTGCGAACAAAATCCAACTCGGCGATCTTGTCCTGGGCCATCATGTTCCTGGCATGTCTCCTCTACATGCTTGCTTCCCTGTCTGCGCACATCACTTTCGGCTGCGAGCGGGCATCCCCAACCTGCCGCTTTCTCTACAAGCTGCCCACCTACCTTGTGGCCCTCCTTGCCGGTTTCGGAATGGCCCTGACGGAGGTCATAGTTGCCCTGGGGATGCGCTGGCTGCGGCAGCAGCGCGGTAGCAATGAAGGAGGATGGACGCCGCTCGCGATTGGCAAAGCCGTGAACCAGCTGTCCCTGCCTGGCATGAACTGCCAGCCTTTCGCCACTGCACCGGCAGAAAAGATTCCCGACTCCGTGAACCTCAGCATCAGCGGGGTGCCAGGCTTCTTGTGCTTGACGCCTCGCGAGTGTGCTGCGCTGCTCTCGACCAACTATGCGCTCGCACTGATCATGGCCACCATCGGCTCTTTCCTCGTCTTAACCATGAAGGAGGAGGCGGATGCTTTGCTGACGGGAGGTGCTTAACACCTGCGGGCATCGCACCGCAATATATAATGTTATCGAATTCATAGATGCGAGTCTCGAGCCAGGGCCGTGTCTTCAGGCAACTGGCTTCACTTTGCTCCTCAGCAAAGCTGTCGGGCAGCAAGTATCAAAGGACATGAGCATGTATCAGCCATGGGCCGGCAGCCATGGGCCAGCAGCTTTCCTTTGTGAATCAAGCTGCGCACCACGAGGTGTCCGCAGGCTCCATAAGCCAAGCTGATAGTTTGGAGTTCAAGATCGCCTGAGGCGTTTTTTTACGCGGTGAAACTCGGAGAACGAAAGGAGCGATCATGAGCTCATGCATACGATGGGCTTGGGCTGTTGCCTCAGGTGACAGACCGGGTTTTTCGATCAGCCTCCAATTTCAAATTTGGAGGCAAGCCACTCCAAGCGGGTAGGTCGGTTGTTGTTCACATAGACAAAGGGCTGGTTAGGCAGTTTGAAGTTGTTCCCTTTCTCACGTCTTCAAGCAGTCGCAACACATGAAACCAACATATCCTATGTATGAGGGACCGTTCAAGTTGCGGCTGTTGAGTTGAGTCTGCTGCGTTTCATTGTTGTGGAGCTGGTACGCAAAACCATGCATTCTATCATACGCACAAGAGAAAACAGGGGGATGTTCAGCCATTCCGGTGACCCCTGGTTGGTTTGGATTGGTTCGGATTTGGATTTGAACCATTTCCGGCCTCTTAAAAACCGGATTTTTGGATTTAGATTTGGATTTGAACCATTTCCCAGTTGGGTTTGGATTTTTGCTTCGGGTTTCGGACTTGGCTTTTGGTTGAAACTCGGAGACCTGGGGGTCTCCGGGTCTCCTTCTCCCTCCATTTCAGCGAGCCAGCCCCGCACGGCAGACGCAGGCAGGGCCGGCTCCGGGGAATTTCTCCGTGGGCGTGCAGACCGAGGCGAAGAGTCGAGGATCCCGATGGGTCCAAATGAAGGAGTTGGGCCAAACACGCAGGTGTTGAAGTCCATGTTTTTTTTACTTGCCAGGGTTCCAGCCATTGTGGTATTCCGGCTTTTTGAGCCACAGCCAATTGGGTGTGGGTCAAAGATGGGTACGAAGGGTACCCCAAAATGGCAAGGGCCCTGGAAAAATGGCTTGCCCTGGACTCGAATCTGCGCTCTCTTTTTTTGGTGGTCTGATTTTGACAAGCCAAGTCTTATTGTGAATGCCAAGAGAAATGCCGGTGGAGTCAGGAAACATCGCCAGGCAGGTATGGTGCCTGGCGGGTTTTCCTGTCTTTTCTTGTCTGTTTTTTTTTTTTTTTTTTTTTTTTTTTTTCCGGAAGAAGGACAGTGTGCGATGGCCGGCCACATTGCCAATCCGGCTGCAGTTGCATGTGTGACGCCAGCCGAAAAGTTTTTCACACCAGGTGCTTCTCCACAGCAGCGCCATGCAGACAGAGGCCGGGGCTGGCAGTTTGGTGCCATGCACGCGAAGCGACTCGAACAGCAGGGGGTCCTGCAGCTTCCGTTGGGTTTCCAGAGGAATTCGGGGTTTCCATGCGCGGACCACAATCCAAAAGCATGGAGGCAGGCGTAGCATGTGCCGAGGCAAATTCATAGACGCATGCGCAGGGAAAGTAGACAGTGGAATGCACAGAGGCATGCGCAAGTGAAACGCGCAAAGGCGTGCGTAGGGCAAGCGCAGAGTCAAATGGAGAGAGGCGCAGGGAGAGTGCGCAGTAAATGCGTAGAGGCACGGCACAGAAGCATCAAGGTCATGGGGAGGTGCGCGTGCCGGCAGTGAATCAGTTTGGCGCGCTGCTTGCCGAGACGCAGGCATCTCAGCAATGCTCGGCTTCGCAAACCGAGGCGCCAGGGGTTGAAGAGAGCTGTTCTCTGACCTCTGCCTTGGCGTCTTTGGAGCTCCAAAGGACTTTTCTAGCATGGGCTGCTTGACGATCCCCAATGCAGGCCAATCCTGACCAAGTCACCCTTGTGTAACTCTTTGAAACAACTTCCGACAGTGAAGCATGGCCTTGTGCTGCAACCAGCATAGCACCCCAAGGTCTTCCTGCTTTTGACTGGGGAGTTCAAGTCAGTGTACTGCTTGCATTGGCGGAAGTGATTTTTGGGGGCATGTCACACCTGGCTGCGCTAGTCAATTCGGAGCTGCTTTTTGGCTTGTGAGAAAGTTAGGCAGGGTGGGCCTCGTTGCCTAAGCCCGCTGGATCCTTCCAGGCACAGCTCCATCTCTTTGGCCGCCTGGATGTTGCACACAATTGAAATCGGAGTTTTATTGCTCCAATTTCCAAGCCCCAGTTGCTTGGTGCTACCCTTTGTCCCTTTTCTTCCAGTTGGTTTCCTGTAGAGATAGGCTTCAAGGCAGACATGGAGCGCAAAACTCGGCGCCTCAAGTTCCCGCCGAACCAGAACCTCTTTCGTCAGGGCATCTGGAAGGAGGCCACGCAACCGCAAGTGGCCTCCATTGCCACGCAGGTGGAGGTGGGAAACCTGGGGTTAGGTCCACGGGCTGTGGGGGTGGTCTGTTTCGGGGACTATCGAAGCCGCATGAAAGCATTGACAGATATCCCCAACCACGTTGTTGTCATGGTGATAGTGATACTTGCAGCTGCTTTCTCTGGAGAATGTCAGACTTGTCAGAGTGCTTGTGGTTTGTTTGCTCCAAAGGGCGACACTTTCCAGAGTTGCAGGCCTCCTCTAGCTGCACGTCTGAGACGCAGACTCCGGCTGAGGCGCAATATTTGGAGCAAGTTGTTGACAGTTTTCGTGGCGGTTTGGTGCAAGACTTGAAAGACAGTTCATAGTCGAACCGCGCCTCGACTCGGGCGATGGCTAGTTGCAACTGAATCAATATGATGGAAATCTTTGTGCCGCTTTGCTTCCGCCAGGTGGTATCGGCAGTAGAGCAGCGCGCCTGGTGACAAGAGAAAGACGAGGTATGCGCACGACACGGCGCTGGCAGACATTGTCAAAAGACGTGCATCGATCAGTGCGGAGTCCAGGCTGTCGTGGTTTGCTACCCAGGTTTGGTATCCAGGCGGCAGCTGCAACGGTGTCCAGCTATGCGGCTTGGACTATATATATATATGTATATATATATATATATACACATGTATACACGTCAAGAGCCCCCAACAACCACAGAACTTTTAATCGCTTTGGGAGGGATGCGGCCAGGATGTTCCCCTCTCCGCCTAGCTTTCTACTCACATGTAGACATGTACAGCGCTTGATTTCCCTCAGCTTGAGGGTATTTAGACTGCGGGTCGGTCCTGTCTCCCTTGTCTTGTTGCAGAAAGAGTGGTGATATTTCTGAAAACACTGGCAAGCTGTGAGTTCTGGAAAGACGTTGAAAGACGGAATCGACATTTGTGCAGTACTCCAGAAGCATTGACTGACTGATTGTGGGCAAAGATTGTTGCTGAATGGGATTCGTGCTTGCTGGTTTCACTGAACTGCTTCTGCCGTTCGGCAACAAAGAGTGCCCACAGTGACTCAGGCACAGACTGCAAGCGCCAAGATGACCTCAGTCACGACGCAGGCCGACGGCTGCAATCGAATAGCAAGGCGTTTGCTGGAAAACCATTGTTTGTGCGGCAGTCGGTCGGTCATCTAAAGCGGCGCTTTGCAAGCCTTGGTGAAACGTTTAGCCTGTTTAAGCCGCTTCCGCAACTAGTCGGAATGTTACCGGCGCTGTGGGATGGGACATGGGCGCCACCCACTCTTTCCCCTTTGCCCCACCCCACAAAAAGCAACGCGACGCAACTCTTGGTTTCCCATGTCACAGTTATGTTCAAGCAAAGTTGATGGTTCTAAGTGGTCGGAAATGGTCGGAGTTTCTTGACTTGGGGAGTTTCTTATGGATTGGGAATGTTTTTGGGTCAGTTGTTAATTTTTGGAACCGTCACAAGTTCTGCCAGTTGCAGGTGGAGCGGCCAAAGATGGGTCATCAGGGTGTCCAGGTGGAGGACGATGCGAGCATTGAGTGAGCCGAGGGATTCCCGGCATTGGCTGAGCCACAATCAAAACCTGGGTGGATGAAGGTTAGTAAGGGACAATCCGACCATAAATAGCTGCGGATATCCGCCTTCTGAATTCTTTACATGGTTCTGGGGATCGACCATCTTAATACCGGGTTTTGATTATGACTCAAATGTCATTTGAGACCCATTCGGAAGCTTTGCCTCTCGGGACGTGGAGGCGTCCTCGCACCCGGCCCTCTCCCTGCGAACCTGGTTCCAAAACATATATATATATATATATATATATGTAGGACGTGCCTACGAATTAAAGCTAAAGCGTTGTGGCTCAAGGGTAAACACCGCTCCGGGCGCAATTCTCAAAGGGCAGCAATACATTGGACAGGCTATCCCTCCCGCCATCAAACGTGTGAACAGAAGGCAGTTCTGTGCATACAAACATCCCAAGTGCTGGGAAGGCGAGCCTCCGACGGTTTTTGTCTTTGTTTTTTGTCGTTTTTGGTACAAGGACCCAGAAGCCTCAGCGGCTCTGGAGCGTTTGAAGCACCTGGAGGCGACGGTTTTTCCCAGCTGGGGAGTTAGGTCGAATGTGCCGGGCAGGCCTGCGCGCCAGGTTGCTATGCGGCAATTCCTTGCGTTGCAACTTCCTTTGACTCACACCTTGGAAGCAAAAGAGCTGCAGGGCAAGGCGTGATTGTGCGGAGGTCATTCAGGAGTCCCTGGATACGCAGGCGGTTCTCCAGGCGCAAGAGCTTGAGGCTGCGGGGCGGGCAGTCAGAGCAGGATTCCAATTCTCGAAGAATGGCAAACTGGTACCGCTGGGGAAGGGGTCCCCGACTTGGCTGTCAATGGGATCCCATTTTGGTTGGTAGGTGAATTCACCACCCATTTTAGGACCGATTGTACTGGTCGGATTGGGTCCCGTTCACTGGGGGTACGATTTGGTTCCCCTATTTTCTGGGGAATTGTTTTCCGGTTTTTCAGCGTATTTTTTTCTAGTTAGACCAGCAAGGAAGCAAGCAAGGGGTTAGCCGTAACCGAGGGCTTGCTAGCAAGCAAGCAAGCAAGCAAGCAAGCAAGCGAGCAAGCAAACAAGGAAGCAAGCCAGCCAGCAAGCAAGCAAGCAAACAGGCAAGCAAGCAAGCAAAGCAAGCAAGCAAGCAAGCATGCAAGCGAGCAAGCAAACAAGGAAGCAAAGCGTCAAGCACATCCAATCAAGCGGCGGTGCTTTTGCTGCCATTCTTGAATCTGGGGCTGTTGTGACCTGGGGTGATCCAGAAGAAGGCGGAGAAGATCTGCAGTGCAAGTGGCTAGACAAAGAAACTGGAAACAAATACCCCAAAAAACTGGAAAACAATTCCGCGAAACAGAAAACCACCGTACGATTTTGACCCGTGCCCAAATGAACTTCCTCCATTTGCTTAAGCCCTCTGCAAAAAAAAGAAGAAGACCAGAATATGTCCAGCAGTGAAATCGATTCCCTTCAAAACCGGGTGAACAAAATCCCCCGCTGCTTCCTGTCACATCGGTTCGGAGAGGTCTGGCAGCAGATGGCCAAGTCCAAGGCCATGGGGCGATTGCACGCCTGGGCCTCGGGGCCTCGGGGCCTCCGGCTCGCCTCGGGGCCTCGGGCTCGCGGTCTCGCGGGCCGAGAGGCGCATCTGCTCAGCCGCTGGGAGGGTTTTTTGGGGGGGACTCGCAGCGGCCGAAAGAAGTGGCTAGGGTCTGGTAGATTTGCGAGCTCGCGGAAAATTCGAGCTTTGCCAATCGTTTTGAGCGGTGTTTAGTCCGGCCATTTAAGAGTGTTTCAGATGACAAGAGCGTTCAGTGAGCTTTAGGGCTGCGTCTTAAGCACCGTGGGGTCATCACATGGGTGTGGGTCCAAAAAAGGTACTCAAAATGGAACCCTGGTAAATGGAAACAATGACTAGAACCTGCGGTTGCTTGGTGGCCTTATTTTGATCCATACCCGCATTTGCAATCACAGGCCAAAGTACAGAAGCGGAGGTTGGCATTCGGATAATTTGCCGGCGACACCCATTTGAGTATCTTGTCGACTGGGCAGAGATCTTTTTGACGTGTTTCGACTCAGTTTCCAGAAGCAACACGATTGCCACTTGGGGCCGGATGCGCGCGCGTGGCTGTTATTATCAGCGGCTGAGCGAAGAAACTCGAGCGTTGATTCGTAACGGGTTTGAGGATTGCGAGACGTGTAGAGAATGCGCAGACAACTCTCAGTTTTCAAAGACGCTTTCATTGATCGACTATGTTGCTTGATGGATTCGGTCAATCCTTACATTCCATGGGAAGGGCAAGTTGATGGTCCGCTACCACAAATCTAGTGTCATGAACAAGGCCCGAGCTCCGCTCCAGGCCACATTCAATTGCTTCGAACCAAGTCAGCTATACAGAAACAATATACCAAGCTACTTTGGCTCTAGCTGAGGTGACTATCCTGTGCCCTCGCGCTGAGTGCACGGTGAACAGCACCAAGGCTGTCAATCCCATTGCTTCTTCATTTCCTTGGCTGGAAGCCGTGCAGCATGAATTCGCTTTGAAATCGTTGCAATCTCTCATTGCTCAGCGTGTCCGTGTGCTTGGTGAGCTTTTCATCACACGGTTTTGGTTTTTGGCATTGTTTTTGAGGCGGCCGCACATTTTGGGGCGTCACGGGTGAACTGCAGCGCAGAAGCGCATCCCGAAAGTGGGCGGGCACCCTCAGCAATCCGTGGTTGAAGAATCCATGGGGAAGAATCCATCCGCAGCGGATCGAACGTAAGCATGTTCGCTGCAAAGGCAGGAGGGGAACAAGCTAGATTCCGCAATGTTCAGCAATGTTCAGCTGTTTGTAGTGTTTTTTATTCTTCTTCTTCTTTTTTTCTCTCTTTTTTTAACAACATAATCCGAGCTAGGCTTCATGCGATATCTTGCTGCAACAGAGACACGTGTTTCTCGTTCACGCCACTCTTTGTGTTACTCCTTCTAGTTGGGCTGTTCAAGGAGTGACTCGTGTTCCCAAATCTTCACCACGGAATTGGGGAGGCTCCTGGAATTCCAGTTCGTCTGATACCATTTGCTCTTTTGGAAGGACTACGGGAATCGTGCCTGCAGCGCATGCGGCGCAGGTGGAGATGGACAGCTGGAACTCTCAGCGGCTTCGAGCAGACTTTGAGGAGCAGGTGCCGGCCATGGCTTCAGCACTTCCGGGGCGCAGACCTGGCTCGAAATGAAGCAGCTGGGGCACTACGCGGGTTTTCTACGCTTCCATTTTGGGCATCGGGTTTTTGAGCCACAGCTGCCAGGGATTCACTAAGCTTCCCGTGTCTTGGACGGGAGTCCCACATTTTCTCACTCTCAACACGGTTGCAACAAACAATTGGCGAAGTCGACGGTCGAGAGAGGATCTCGAGTTCACAAACTCAAGTCCGAGCTTCGCCAAGTTTCGATTCGGCGGTGGCCGAATCGTTTTCTCGTGGCTGCCAGGTGCTTCCCCGCTTCACGAAGCTCATCGTGGCGGAGGATGTTGGACCGCCCGCGTGCCCGGACTGAGCCCTCGGGCACGAGCGGTTTTGGGCTGCCAGTCAATATGAACCAATCGGCATACTGAATTTGCGAAGCGTGTTTACTGTTTACTGTAGGGTTTCTGGGGTAGACTTAGGATACATTTTACATTTTACCAGTGACTCAAACTGAAGCAAACAATATAGAATATATATTCTATAGCTGGGCCTAAGTCGAATCATGGTTTGATTGTGGGTAGCACTTTGGGACTTGCAGGCCCGGCCTGGCAAAATCAGGGTCGACCATCCTGGGCTTCAGTATGGACCAGCTTGCAACCCTCGGATGATGTGTGAAGCGTCATGCCAGTGCTGACTTGCAACTTACAACCGCTTGCAACCGCTTGCAAGCCACTTTCGGCCCGAGATGGGGCGTCCACCGGAGAATAGGAAACAGATGCCTCTGTCAAAGCGCAGAAGCAGCCATTTACAAGCGCTTGCACTTGCACAAGACATACCCATTTCTTGCAGACTGGGAGAATTGGGTCGCAGAATGACCCATGATTCTGCTAGCTTGGGCTACGCAAGCTCGTCCACACACCTCAATCAGCAAAGCAATCAGAGGCAGAGGCCCTTTGAATAGAGCAGCTTTGGCGTAGATCCATTTGAGAATGGCGCTGCCCGGCATGCTGGCAGATCCCCGTGAGATAGCAGAATGGCCTGGGGCAGTGGCTCGGAAGAACGTGCTTGGTTCAGAGGCTCGATGGCTTTTTTTGGAGTATCCAACTTGAGATACAACAGACGCATGTTAGGTGAGTCTGGAGTATGCCTTATTGGAAGTCCTATGAACCGAAGGTAGAAGCCGGACAGGCCTGGGACTTATGTTCCAGTTCCAACATATTAAGTGAGCGCTAGCACAACATGGTGGTTGGGGACCGCATGAGACTCGCTCTTTGTAGGAAAGAAACTGGGGTTGCATCCTCAAAGCGAGAGTTAGCTGGGCCGACTGGCCCCAGTGAGCGGGAGACAATGCCACTTGCATCTTTTTGCCTTCCTCTTCCTAGCCTGTGTCTGTAGTCAACTGCATCAGAGTAGAGCAACAGTTTTCACCCAGGTCTCACTGGACACATTTTCATGAGCGGTACTGGACAGGACCCGCCTTGTTCAGGTCAGCAGCAAGTTCCGGGATAAGTTCACAGGCCTCCCGCTGTGCCGCAAGGCTGAGCATCGCCCAGAGCCGAGTGGCCTCCGGAGCCTCGACGCGCACAGCCTATGACCCGCCAGCCGAGTTGGCTCTTCCTGGGGCTCACAGCACAGGGGGCTTACCTCTTAAAAACACAACTTTTCAACTTTTTGGGGTAACATGGGCTATATGTCTGTAAAAGGTGAACTTCCCCAGGGCGCAGGGAGGTTTAAGGGGTAAGGGGGGGGGTGATTGTGTGTCTTGCGCTGAGGAATGGCCTTGCCCAATATTTCACGGACAACTCTGTGCAGCACTGCGGCCAAGGTGGGAATGATGACTCAAGTAGTTTCTTGCAGGGATGGCAGAGCGCTACGAGTTCAGCTGTTTCTGAAAACCCTTTGGGCTATGGGTCATCAAACTTTCTTCCCCAACCATTGTCAGAGCTTCTATCCGCACCTGAGCCACGATCAAAACCCGGGTAGATGAAGGTCAGTAAGGGACAATCCCAACCACAAATAGCTGCGGCCGCCTTCTTAATTCTTTAGGTTTTGATTATGATTCACCTTTCGTCTTATTGTCCACCGCTTGCCGAAGACCTGCTTCAGACGCATCTTCATTTTCAGGGTCCGAGCTGCGCCATGCGCTCTTTACATTGCTATGGGCGAACATTAAGGGATTTAGTCCTTGTTTCCATTTACCAGGGCAAGCCATTTTGGGGTTACCCTATTTTTGTCCCACAACAATATACAAATATATAAACATATGCAACTATATATACATATGTACATATATATATATATATATATAGAATAACACCATGGAGATGGTCCAGAAAACACACAAATCAACAACAAACGGGGGTCAAGGCTCCCCCAAATTTCCATCGCGAGGCCGGCGGCTCATTGAAGTGCCCCAGGGGGAGACCTTCCAGTGGCGGCCATCCAAGCGCCAGCTCAGTGAGCCCGGCCTGGGCCACATCGCCCCTTGGCATTGGGGGCCCGGCGCGTGTGTGTGTGTGTAAAAAAGGTAAATGGCATATATCATATCCACACATATGTATGTATATACATATGTGTATATATATATAGATACATGTCTGTGCACGTGTGTGATTAGTTTGATTTCCGTGCGCGTGCAGCGGAAGCACCGGGTTGCTTCCCACTTGCTTCGCTAAGGAGAAGAACGAGGGGAGGGCCATGGTAGCGGAACCTCCCACTCGGGGCTTCTCCATCCCGGCAGCTTGGCTCAAACACATTGGCTCCAGCTCCGAGGTCGAGGATTCGTTTACTTCACCTGTTTGGCCTCAGGGGATGGCAGCCTTCTGTTTTTCCTCAGGTTTTGCGTAGTTTCTATGGCAGACCAACTTTGGTGGCAGATTTCGCCACTCCTTGACTGCCATTATGTTGCCATTGCGCCTGAAGTTGGTTCTTGGTATGCGCCGTTCAACGTCAGGCTCAAGAGATCAGGTTCTCATTCTGGGTGAAAGGCTTTGTCAGGCTTCGCCAGCCTCGTTCTTGCTTGGCACATGCTGAGGAGAGGCGACACATTCGACAACTGGAATCGAAGCAGGACAGCGGCCAAGACATGTGGGGGCCATGCAATCCGAGCTTTGCAGTTTGCTTGGTGCAAGCAACCGCACCTGTGTGGGTCTTCCAAGCAAGAAGCTGCGATGCACATACTGGCCTGACAGGAGCATGGAGATCTTGCAGTTGCTAAAGGCCGGGACAGGGCGAACTGCGCGTAGCGACGTGACATCTAAATTCAGCCCAAGGGCTGTTCCCAGGGACCGTGTACCGGGAGAACGGGCTGCGGGCGGCTGAGCAGCCGGCCCGGGAGATCGACGTCACCGTGGAGTTTCAGCGCAAGGAGAGACCGAATCGCATCGAGTCGAGTCACGGTGACCCCCCTGGTCTCGTCAATCCTACGGGGATCTTGGCAGAATTCAGGACGGATAGCTCTTGAAAGGAGGTATCAGATATGATCATCGCAAGGAGATCTGATCCTGGTAACCAGCCGAACAAGGTGAACTGCAAACTGCTTACAAGGTTGGTTTAAGGGAGGTGTGACATGCTCGTTCGAACAAGATCTGGCTAGGGCCCAATTTGCGCATTTGTGCGTCTCGGTAATTGGCAGGTCTGATTGTTATGGGTTAAGCGCATACATTCACATTCCCATCGCATGCGCCAAGTATCACCCAAAAAGCTGGGGATTGTAGTAAGGCCCTCAGCTGGACATAGTTGCTGCCTTCTCATCACGTCCCAAGCATTTTGCACCATGGCTCAGATCGGTATATAAACACGCCAAGCTAAGTAATATAATTACCTGTTACGCACATATAATAGTCACATACGTATATAGACATTTGAGTGCAAACCTTTGCGATTACAGCCATGTCCTCATATCTTCGAGCGGGCCCTAGGCCAGGAACCAGGAGCTGGACGTGAAGCGCAATGGCATAGGCCTACAAAATCGGCGTGCCGTCGGTTTTGGGCCCGTGCTTTCAACCATAAGCGGAGCTACTGCAAACAAGTGAAATCATACCATATGAAAGCCAAAGAATCAAGAATCAAGCTAAATACAGATAAATAAAGCTCGGCCACATTTTTTCAGCATCACGGCCCACGGCTGCAGGACGCGCTTTGCCCCTTTGTAGGAGCCTTTGTTTTTGGAAGTCGCTATGCCATTTGGGACCAGTCGATGGGCGGTTTCTCTCCTGTGGCTCAACATTGGACGAAGCTTTGTTCAGTTGGTTTGTTGCTTGTCTTGTTTTCAGCAGGGAGTTGGGGAGTGTTTCCCCATCGACCATGTTGGGAAGGGGTTGTCCCATGTGCTATATTCCCCGTTGGTTTGTTGTTTGTTGTGTTTGCCAGTTACTGTTTTATTGTTTGTTGGTGTATTATGTTCATGTGTTTCCTTGTGTCTGTTGGGCCTGCTGGGGTGAAGTTTTTAATGTGTTTGTTCTGCTGGCTTGCTGGTGTTTCATATGTTGGTGCGTTGTGTGTTGCTTTTTGGTTGTTTACTGTTGCTAGCTGCATCTCGTTTGTTGGCTTGTTTGCTTGGTTGGTTGTTGTTGTTTTGTCTTGCTTTGCCTTGCCTGCTTGCTTTTTCGATTTTGCTCCGCGACTTTTGTAGATTTTGCAGTGCTTCCCCTCAGGTGTGCGAGGGAAGCGGCGAAGCCTACTGGCTCGCGATCGGATGGCTTGCCATTCTTTGTTCTTGCTGGTTTTGCCGGTGTTGATGTCCCGTTCAGGTTCCCTTAATTGGTGGTTTGGATTGGTGGTTTGGAGGTTTGATTCCCAGTACCTTAAAAACCAGATGGCACCTTCGTGCCCCAAAAGGTGCAAAGCAACCAAACCACCAGATAGGGGTAAGGTGAATTCTTTGCAGCTCCTGCCATGATCAAAGTGGTTCTTGTAGGGTGGGGGTTTTCAATGCAGTCTCGCTGGCTTGCAGGCTGCCGGACGCTGGGCGACAAGAGCTATCGGCACCCTGAGTACATGTCCCGCTTTTATCATGCTGGCGAACTTGCCGTGCCTGGGCGTCAAAGAGGAACCACTGACACTCGGAGAGTCATCAGTTGTGAGGGTATTGATCTTTTGTTGATCAGCCGCTTGCTCTGACCTTACCCCAAAGGCAAGTTGGAGGGCCGCCTTTTTTCTTTCTCATGTCCGTTTGGGGAGCAGCGAATATCGCAGGTGTCTCACCAGTACCTGCGCAGTGCACATGATGCATCCACATGTTGCTGCAAATTCCTGCACGCCCAAGGTTGGAAGCAGCTTTCATCGCGGAATGCATGCCAAGACTGAGCCCCGGAACAGCAACACGGTGCACATCATCATGGACCACAGGC